TGTTAGAGAAAGATGGGGATGTGTGGGCTGCTTTTAAGCAGGAGGATGACATGGTCAATGGTGTTAAAGGCGGTGGTGAAGTCGATAAGTGGTGCAGGTAATGATCGTAAAATGTGTAGTCGGGTTGGCATATCACTGGCGAGTCGTAGCGTCTGAAGTGCTGATGATCGGTCCTCCCAAAAGCCGCATTGGGTTGGTCGTACGTGATTGTCAATGATAGGATTTAGTCGATGAAGGATGATTTTGTCAAAAACGTAGTTGATGAGAGAAATGAGGCTAATAGGTCGGTAATTATTTGGGCCTCTGTTGCTTTTATGGGGCTTCGGTATCATCTTGACTGCCGCGTGTTTCCATATGTCAGGGTGGAACTGTAGTCGGATGCATTTGTTAAATATGAGGCAGGTGTCGTATGGCGTTTTTCGTTAGTCTACGTACTGCAGTCGCTTTTGTCTCTTCCAGTGCGTGAAGTTGGTCTTTGATATCGTCGTCTGTTTATAGTCCTTGGGTCTTGAAGTGTGTAGTGAAGGTTGGGTGTTTTCAGGAAATGAAGGATTAGGTCGTTAGGTAATTGGGTGCCCTGAGAGGAGAATCTATTTTGTAGGATATCGGCAAAGGTTTCCGCTGTAGACTGGGGATCGTAAGTCCTATTGCCGTTCGGAAGGTTTATGGGTGAAATTATATTTATCTTTGTCTTTCTCGTCTATGAGTTTTTCGTCCAGTTTCTGCGGTTCGTATCTGTCAAGTTCCTCTCATATTTGTCTACGTAGTTGTATGAACAGTTCAGTCTTGTTGCCTTCGAGTCCTGTAAAACTGTTTGAGCGTTCGCCGTTTGTGTCCTATTAGGGAGAGGATATGGGAGGGGAGTTGGATTTTAGACATGGAAATTGATGTAGTGAATTTGTATAGGGATCTGTTAATATGGAGATTGAAATGTTCTATGGACTTGTCTATATCGGATGTGGTTTCTCGGGCAGTTTAGAATTTACTTTTCTTGGATATAAGGTTTGTAATGTTTCCAGCCTATGGTGATTTCGGGACATAGGTATAGGGTCATAGGATAGGGCATTGATGGTGAAGGTGGTCGAATCAAAGTTCGTAATTTGGATATGGAGCGGTTAGGATTGTGGAATTGGAGTAGATAACTATGTTCAGGATATCATGGGGGAGGTCATTTAATAAGTGGGCAGAGTCTGAAGGAACGGGTAAAGTCACGTTGTTATGTTATCGTATGAAATTTCGTCGGTCCGTCCAGCATTGTTAGTCTACCTGCATCCCCAAGCTGCTTTTTTTGAATTTAAGTCTCCGGCAATTATAGTTTTGTCTGTCAGTAGAGCGTCAAGGTCAGAGGGCAGTAAAGGAGCGCTTGGGAGCTTGTAGGAGGAGGCCGTGAGGGGTTGACAGTTAGATGCGGGTGTTTTCTATGTGGGGTGTGGGCGTGAATTGGGTATATGGGATGTTTTTGTGAATGCAGATGGCATTCCTCCCAGGGAGGGTCTGTCAGTCCGGTAGGTGAGGAAGTCACAGATAGAAAAGGTTTGTGAAGATGTCTGTCTTGTATCAGTAATATACCGATGGAATAGTCTTTGATGGATTGTCTGATGTCTTTCTTCCGGGATAGTCCTCCGTCGGCATTCCACGTCGTTATAATAGTCTCAGGTTCGTCACCATAGTTAGAATATGTCACAAATTTGTCAGAACGGTCATAATTTTCGTCGTAGTTTCAGCAGGTCCTTTGATGATAGTGATAAGGTCTTTGATAGTGCTGACGATTTTTTGGATATTGCATCCTTTTAGCAAGGTAAATAGTTATTTTAGTTCTGAGAGAGCCGATGTTGATGGTGATTGTGATGCTTGATTTGTCGATTCATTTATGACTTCAGCGTATGAGATACTTGAGTTGTTCTGGGATTATTGGCGAGATTTTCTGGGAAGTCCAGGGAATGCAGTTATTTAGTGCGGGTTTGGTGCAGTCTGTTGCTGTGTCTGAGTTTGAGTCTGTGCTCTTTGTTTTGTCAGTCTTTCTTGACTAGCTTTCAATGATAAAGCAGGAGGGCCAGTATGCTGGATGATCTTCTGAGCAGTTTGCGCATTTTATGCCAGTACTATGGCAGGAGTTGGTGGGGCGATGGAGGGAACATTTGGGGCAGACTGTTGGTCGGTGGCAGTAAGTGTTTGTATGGTGTATTTGCTGGTAATTTGTACACTGTGGTACACGGTCAGATGGGACATAGTCTTGAAGTCTTATGAAGTGATACATGAGTTTTGTCAGTGTTTTAGGGTGTCTACGTCACGTGTATTTACTTCAATGATGAGTAGTCCAAGTCCTTATAAAGTCTGGTCGTCAATACACACACACAATATATATATACATACATACATATATATATATATATATATATATATATATATATATATATATATATATATACGGAAGAATTCTCAAGAAATCAATAGCTTCACAATTTGTGCATTGAAATATTATTATTTTTCCACCCTTCATCCAGAGTTTTTTGGCTTTCCCATTTACTAACACCTTTTCTATTGTTTACTGAAGTTCAAAGACTCTGTTATTACAGAGTCCTATATTATTAGCAGTGAGCAACGTTTTTAACTGTAGAACACATGCCGGGCGTCAGAATAGGTATATGTACAGAGGGATGCTTCAATTGCTACATCTTCAATATCTGATCTACAAATGATGTCACTTTAAGTTTCAATGTATCCATCTGTAAATACACCTTTATCGACATACATTACTTTTTGAGCGTTCTCTCTCATAATTGCACACAGCATGTTCACATCGCGGTCGGCGCGGCGTCAATGTTATTCACTGCTGGCAATTCACCCACACCAACAAATGAAAAACGTAGATGCTAACGCGTTTGGGGCTTTAGATATTTTAGTTTTTACTGATACTTTTAATTATGCTACACGTTTCCTTACGTTGAGTATTATGGGAGGGAAATATGAAGACAAAACCGAGTCAAGTTAACATGTAGTTATCTAGTAAATACCGTTAAATCGAAATAAATAAAATTAGGTAAAAAATTATATTATGTGTGTACCACGGGCGTTGACTGGTTCTAGTGATTATTACTGCTTTGTAAAAGATTTCGAAAATTTAGTTACATTTGTAGACTATGTCTTTCTGGTATCCTTGCATGAGCTTGCGCAATTAGTCTCTGGTCGATGGGTTACAGCTCTCACTACGGGCAGAGAGATGCGTGAAAAGAAGCCGTGCCCGTGCCCTGAGAGAATTCCCCTTCAGCAAGCGACCCAAAGGTCGAATTATATGCTGACAGCTGAAACCCCTCTCCTTCACTGTCACCTCACAGGGACAGGGAATTGCGGATGCATTCTTCCACTACGAGAAATCTCGCGTCTCTCTGCCAATTGCATTAAATTCACAGGAATTCCGTTTTATAAAGTTTTTTTTGTTCCTGCGGGATATGAAAAACCGTTCCGTTTCCGCGTTGGAGGGGTTCCGTTTTACGTTGGGTTTCCGTTTTACTTCACGGGCCAGAGAAATTTCCAGTTATGGCCAGTTTCCGGCTTGTACAGGTTCCGCTTTAAACAGATTTGACTGTAGCTGCAAGAATTTGTACATCATAGTCACTGTAACCAAGATTATATATTATTATTCCATATCTAGATGTGGATTAGGGTTTGAACTATTGATTTATTGCATTTTTACGAATTGTCGGCAGAAAAATGTTTGCCGGGATCGGATAACGAAAAAGTGGGTAAATCCTGTTCCTAAATAGAGTAAATTACTTCTTCTAACATGTGGTATAGCCAGATTCCGTGTTTTGTGGGTCCTTGTTACCGAAACATTGACGGGAAAACGTATCTGTTCGTGGTCAACGCTAGCGCATAAACCGTTCAGCCGATTTTCTCCAAACTTAGTATTCCCCAAACGATCTTAACGAACTCCAGGCTTTGGGAGTTTCAACTGGATATTTTGATTTTTGAGAGTATTTTACATGAAGTCTCAAAAACATTTTCAACTCAAAACTGGCTCCAATTTTGATTAAACTTCGTCCTCGGATAACGTAAATGATGTTTAACAGAATGGTGCAGGTCTTATGTTCGTTGAACTCCCCGATTTTTCTAAAATTGCAAACGTGCAATTTTTTGGCGTCTTCCTACAACAATACTGAAGAGATTTTTTTCTTTAATAAAGTCTGCATTTTATAGACATCTTGAAATAAGATCATGCCAATTTTTTTTCTTGAAAAAAGGAGTAATTTACGTGGAATTTTTGGCCAAATATAGGAAATTGTAATTTTTTTAAACAACTTTTTCTCGCAAACCTTCAATTTTTTTCTTTACATTTTCTCCTCGTATTTATGGAAAAGTAAAAGTATTTTCTCAAAAAATGCTCCATATTTTTCCAAGGATAAAACAAAGAACAGTTAAAAGAATAGTGCAAGTCTCATCTTTGATAAACTCATGAACTTTTAAAAACTGCAAATTTAGAAATAATGCAAGAAAGTATGTGCTGTTATAGCACCACTAATTTCATGATGATTTTACTACATTTACTCTTCGTTTAGCATCAGAAATCTGTTACTCTCTTTAAGGTAGTATGTTCGTTAGATTGACCATGGTGAAATGTCCTCCATAAGTTTTTTAAATGAAAGCAAAATCTGTTCAAGATGGTGAGAAAAAATTGGCCCTTACTGGCACAATATTTTAATAAAAGAAGTTTATATTAGAACTGGCTCTTATGGAAAAACTTTCGCAGGCATAGGTTTTTTTCAGTTATTGAAAAAGTTATACGGTGAAAGTACTTTTTTCTTTTATTCAATATTTGGTATATTGCTTTAGGAATCAAATGGTATTAAATGTAACACACCTCACCAGCCATTCTGAGGAGTAATTGATACAAAACTGCAGCAAAATGCATCATAACTGGAAGTCCTGGCTCTCGGCCTACAAATTATGCTGTACAAATCCTGCTATTGTCACCACTGTTTCTCTTGGGGTACAAGATAAAACAACCTTAACTTAAAAAATTTCTACCACACTCAACCACACACTATTTGATGATAATTCACTTTCTAAGCAAACAATGTGGACTAATATTGAACGCAAAAAGAAAGAAATGTACATGCGCCGAAGTCAACTTGAACCATATTGAATATTGCCAATTTAAGAAAATTAAAAATGCGAGAATAAATTTATTAGTAAACATGGTTTTTCAAGAATGACTATTCAATACTTCTCTTTTATTTATTTTCAAATTATTGTTTAAATGTTCTATTCACTTTTACAAGCAGATATTGTTAATCTGTAAATGTAATAAATGGTCGAATGTTGGACTAGCGCCTATCACAAACATAGCACCTCAAAACAGCTGTTGACATGCTCTTCCAAACAAGCATTGTATCTACTGAGAAGTAAAATAACTTTTTAAAAATGACTGTGGTCTACAGGTTTATTATCCAATGAATAAGCAGCTTCCATTGGAATGTTTTTGATACAGATAAATGAGTGATACACAAGGGTGCTCCACCTCCTGGTGATCTACCCACCACTCTCAGCTTCCCTCTCTACTCTTGAATCAAGTGGACATGCAAAATAATACTACTGGACTAGCTATTTACAAAACATATGCCATTTGATATTTTGTATGGTGTTCAAATGCATGTCACGTTACTAGTGCATTTACCATATTCCAAATCCACTGACGATTTCATAACTTCAAAGAAATTTTTTTTTCAGTTGTGGGAAGAAGCTTTTGTATTTTTGGCACCACTTTCTCTCACAGGTAGAACTCTAGTAATGTATTTATTTATTTATTTAATATCAAAAGAATAGTTAAAATTTGTGTGGTGTATTACTCTCTTTTACTTCTTTTTCATATTTATTTAACATCAAAAGAACAGTTAAATGCTGTGTGGTGTATAACAACACTTCACTTTCATTTCAACATATTTTAATTTACAGTCTTGTCAAAACGACCTATATGAACCAATTTCCACTAAACAAATAAAAAATTTTAATATTATTTTCAGAAATATCTCTGATCTTAAAATTATTCAACATTTATTTTCTTATATTGTCAATAAATTAACATTTTACACTATTTCTCCTCCAGCTTGGCTTCTGGCATTTGCCATGTTGCCAGTTCGGCCCTAGTTTCAATATATTGTTGGTGGTCTCGTCCTATGGTTTTCGGAGAAGGTAATGGTGGTTCTTTTCATAGCTTAGTGCCTTCCTGTTTTAGTGTATCACAAAGTTTGTTAGAAAAATTATGTTCTTAAAAGTAAAACTTTCTGATCACAAAAAAGTATAACAGGCTTAAAAATATAGTGCTTGATAGGAAAGTTTTATTAATACCTAAAATTCATTTCTATACATATTTTCAGTTACTAATAATAAATTAAAGTCCATAATTGAAGAGTTATATTGCAGAAATTCATTATTTTGTCATGATCTAAGACCAATAATTTACAACTAATGAATTTCAGTAAGTCCTGAAATACAACAGAGAGATCCTTAGTATCCTGAGATACGAAGAGAATTCAATTAAATTTCGTAAGTCCTGAAATACAACATTCTTATAGCATTTCCCAGCAGGGAAAAACTTAAAGCAGTATCAAAATATTCTGTACAATAGCTCCTGCATTTTTCCAAATAACTTTATTTCTAAAACAAGGAAGAAGACTATAAAATACTATGTACAATACATATAATTCAAATTACTTCAGAAGTATTGCACATTACTTGAATCTGAATTCTGTTATTTCAAGAGAACATGTAACTTTTATTTTGCTGTATGCAAGAAGAATTCAAAATTCAATAGATACTCAACATTCAGTAACTTTTCTGAATTACATAAGTAAATTTCTCTAAAGAGAGAGACAGTTGAAACTTATTACTATTTGGTAGCAAGCCTTTTTGATGCAGGTTTCTTTGGTTGTGCTTCTTTAGAAACAGATTCTTCAAATTCTCCGGGATCAATTAGACGCTTTCGACCATGAGGAGGTGGCCCTATCAGCCCCTCTATATCAGCATAGCTCAGGGTTTCACACTTTATTAGTGTTTCTGCAAGCTAAAACAATTTGTAGAAATTTGTTAATAAATAACAGAAACTTGTAAGACAGATAGCTTGTACAAAATTGAGGGTCAGAGAAAGAAGTAATCCATAAATTTACAGGTAGTCTTAAAAGATTCCAAAAATCTAGAAAACTCTCAGAGATGTTTATAAAACAACCAAAATCAAATGATTGACATAAATTTCAGACAAGGCAGATAACTTCATTAAAAGTACAGAAAGAAGAGCCAGGATGCTATTTAAATATTCTGTAGACAAGAGTAGGCATGGAAAAACGGTCGAAAGTGGTAAGCAGATATATCATGACCCTGATACTATCCATTACACTGAATTTATAGCTCTGCAACCAGAAAAACAATAATGATAAGCAGGAATTAGCTTATTGTTACGCCATTTCATAGAAATTTTCATAAGTACATTACTAGGCAATTTTGGGTCATAGGTTGACTTTTGCTTAATAGCCCATTTCTCACATTTATATTTGCATAGCTTACACTCTGTAATTGGACCCCTCAATTTCTACCATTACTACCACAAATTAGAAGTGTGTGCCATAAAAGTTTCTTCGATACGAAAGAAAATTCACTTCAACCAAGATGACCATTTTAAATCGTTTCAAATAATCTACTTTTAGAATGATTTAGTTCTAAAGATTTGAAAAAAACAAACAAACAAACAAAACAAAACGAAAAAATGTTTTCTTCTTTTCTTTTTACAGGTCAAAACAACATACTATTTATACTCCCCCCAACTGTTCTTTTATTTTTGGATTGTAATAATTTTTTAGCATTTTGGGAAAAGTTCCAATACATAGTGTGTTTCATTCAGAATTTACTTTTTCAAACAATTAATGATGTTAAATCTCAAAAACCCATTTCAGTCTGAAAAAAATTGCTAGTAGTAAAAAAATCTTTTGCTAGTAGAAGCTTGTTATTGGAGTATGGTTGTGCCTGTGTTTAATTTTTTTGTATGAATCCTATAAAATCAGATCTGTTGTTCATTTGCTGATAAAAATATAGTTTTTTATTACTAGGGAGTAAAATTAACTAGTTTTCCAATGTTGGCAAACCACTTTTGTTGGTACCTTTAATCATAATTTAACTATGTATAGTAGAATGAAGTAGGATTCTGGAGCTCAAGAAAAGATGCAGATATTACACGTTTCCCCTATATGTCACATTCAGTTTTTTAATGACACTTGATAATAAATAAATATTACTGAGAGCATTGGTGAGGGCACTTGTTGCAAATAAAGGAACTAATATTTATCAGCAATGTTGAGATCCTTTATGGTGCCAACTAAAAAAATTCCCAGTAATTTCAGTCGATGTGGGAGACCAGCAATGTACAAATGAAATGATAGCCAAGCATAGCTAACACTTACCAATTCAAGTTTGTCAAAGTTATTTTTCAATACATTTTCAGTCTTTTGATATGCATGTGCCACCAATCTTTTTACTTCATCATCCATAAGGGCTGCTAGCCTTTTGCTGTAAGGGCGCTTTCCAACTCCTGAATTGTCTCCTTCTGGGAAGGAAACTAATCCAACAGAGTCACACATTCCAAAATGGCGCACCTGGGCATATGCCATTTTTGTAACTTTCTGTAAATCATTCTGGGCACCGGTTGTAATCTGATTGAATGTCAATGATTCGGCAACTCTTCCACCTAATGCCATGCACATCCTTTCAAAAAGCTGAAACAACAAAGGAAATTGTAACTGGAGAACATAGAATCAAACATCAAAAACAAAACTGAAGATGTGAAACAATGGTTTTTATCACACAACTAATCTTTACAAGTTGGTTTTGCCTCTTAAATTTTGTCAAAGCATCAGAACCTGCGAGGGCCATATATAAATACATATTAGCTAGTGTCTGAACCATTCAGTCAATTTCTTTCAAAATTAATATTCCTCCAAAGATTTAAATGAACTCAATGCCCTTTGAGTTTGAAAGGAACATTTTGATTTTGGCGTGTGCTTTACATGAAGCCTCAACACATTTTCAAAATCTTCTCAAAAATGACTCCACATTTTTTTATTGTTCTCGTATAGCATAGAAAACACTTAAAGAATGGCACTGGTCATCTCGCTTTCATTGAAATTTCAGGTTTTTAAAAAATTATGAAAGTTCAAAATTCTGTCTCTGGGGACACAAAGTTTGCCCGTGCCCTTCTATGTTAGACCCACGTTGAGAAGCAGAACCGACTGACGCATCGCCCATTGAGCCCTTGCGATAATCTCCATATCTGGGAACACAATCCAAGTAGGCACAATCAACATTGAGGATAAAACATTACTGATACTTCCAGGAATTGCGGAAATAGATCACTAAAGAATACCTAGTTTCCCGCCGCAATAATTAAATTTTTTTTTGCGGCATTTTACCGTTCTTGTTATCGCACAAAGGTCAATTATTTTTAGGCATTTTTGGAGGGGCCTGACCCCTTCCAAATTCCATTGGGAAGGCCGAAGGGGCGAAGGTCCCATAGAGTTGACAACTATAATGCCAAGTGATCATGTCTCTGCCCTCAACGGACAGTCATGAATAGGGAGATTGCGTAGGCTGGTGTCAAATGCTCAGTTATGCGCCTAGGATTCACTTTATTATTGTGTGGCTGTAACGACACAGCACTAATACCTCAGTGCAAAGTGCTGTTCTGAGCACTTATTCCAGGGTCTGAGAGCACAAAGCAAAGACATTGACACATTAAGACATTATAAAAATGCACTTTATTCATTGTGATACCTATTTCCCTTTTTTTTTCTTTGAACTTCATTAATTTTAATAAATAGTATTAGAATACTTTAGGTCATTTGATCCCCTTGCGATCAGTGATAAAAGTGTAAATATTAGAATGTATGACGTATTCTATGTTAATTTCTTTGTATGGTAGCTTATATTAGAAATTGGTGTATTTTTTCTTTTCCAAGAGGCAAGTCAATTCAGTAGTTAAATTGTATTGTTGAATGACATATTTCAATCATTTCATTTATTTCTGTCATTCCTCAGAACAAGGTAATCCCTAGAATACAACAAAGTGTAATCTATTTACCCACTCAGTTCCTGAACAGGTTACCTCATGTATCACAAATCTGTGGTAGCCCTGTGCAATGGCCTGTGGCTTTTTGTAATCAGTATCTACAATGCACCTAGCAATCTTAAGTTTTAGAATAATACTCTTCAGGTAAAAAAGAGAAACATGACAATTCTCTCAGTTTTATAACTCAAATTACGATCATAAGCTTATTACTTTTAAACTATTTTTATATGTTAATAGTTTCCAGACATCGAGTATTTTTCACCATAATTTTTTTAAAAAGAAATGTGTGCATTTCTTTAGCATAGTTAAAAATGTATAAATGTATAAACACAGTGTATATGTACTGACAATTGCTTACCTCCTCTTTGGAGAACAAACGTTGATCACTAGGAGTATACTGAGCAAATCCAAGAGCTTGGTTGGTGCGTGGTACAATAGTAACTTTTAAGAGTGCATCAGTATGACGCAACATCCAACCAACTAATGCATGGCCAGACTCGTGATAAGCCACTACACGTTTCTCTTGAGGAGACATAACTTGACTACGTTTTTCTGTTCCTCCAACAAGTCTTTCAACAGCATATTCCAAATCAGTGCCCTTAACTGCTGATTGCTTGTATCGAGCAGCATGTAGAGCTGCTTCATTACACACATTTGCAATATCTGCACCTGTATTTTAAAGTCATTTAGCAGTAATTAATTTTAATTTTAATTCATAAAAAACAAACATTCCTATCCGCTAGCTCATTTCAACACTAATAATAATTATCTAGTAATAATAATAATAATAATAATAATAATAATAATAATAATAATAATAATAATAATACCAAATGAAAATGAGATAACCACGATATCTCAACAGATCTTCAACTTTATGACAAAATTCATGCAATAATTCATTAATGTTTGTAATCCTTTTGGTAATTGTACAACTAAGGGTTTGTTAAATACTTTTCTGTTAGTAAATTTGAACAAATAATGACCGTTTATTCAAAAATAAATAAATATTAATACAATACTTAATTCAAAATTTGCTATTATGAACGATTTTATTTTATATGCTTACCGCTGAACCCAGGAGTCAAATGAGCCATTCGTCTAGAATAATGCTCAGGAGTCTTCTCCAAAGCTATTCCTTTCAGGTGCTGCTCAAATATCTGTTTTCTTTCTTCAAGATTAGGAAAATCAATAAGGATATGTCTATCAAATCTTCCCGGACGTAACAGGGCCTATACAAAAAACAACAACAAAAAGGAGACATTCATTATTATAAGAGGGAATAATATTCTCTCAATAAAATAATTATAAGTGACACAATCAAAATAACCAATTGCAGCACTCCCATTTCCCTTCTATTTATCCACTTTTTCGATATCAGGAGCTAACAATACGAGTTTTACTATCAAAATGATTGCAGACATGCACTGCAGGCACTTTGTTTGCACTTTTTCAAGTGATGGCAGAAATTGCATTAAAATATTATGTAACCTTTCCCAATAATGCCAGAGAGTATGTGCTGTTCTTGCACCTCTTGTTAGATATACTAGAGTTATAAACAACTTTTTCTGTTACAAAAAAATCATTTACAGAATGAATCAAGGCATTTTTTATGGCATACAGCCATTTACGGCAAGAATAAATGTGCCATCATGAAAAAGGTAGAACATTAAATACTGTGTTCAGCGAGTTGTAGTAACATTTCAAATTCACTCAAGTAGAAATATGAATATATAGAAACTTTAATTAGAACATATGATGATACTTCTAACACATGATTTGCAGAATGAGAAAAAGGTTCCTTCCTGGTACAACTCGACATTTCTAATTCCCAAAAAAGTTATTTTCTAACATGTACTTCCACCAATGAACCTCATTCTACTGGCCTAAAAAATTAGTATTCCATATATTTTTATGTAGGAAAAACAAAACAAATCACTTTTGAAACTGTAGTTCTTCCAATTAATAACAACCTCAGGACAATAGAACATTTACCTTATCCAACACATCAGCACGGTTTGTTGAAGCCAGCATTATTACACCTTCCTTTGATGCCATGCCATCCATTTCTACCAGAAGCTGGTTGAGGGTCTGCTCACCTTCTCCTGAAGATCCATCAAACTGGCTGTTCCCACCACGCTTGCGTCCAATGGCATCAATTTCATCAATATAAATTATACAAGGAGCTCGCTTCCGTCCTTCCTTAAATAAATCCCTGCACAATACTAATAAGAAAAAATTCTTGTAGGAGGGGGTGAACAAAATAATGGAAACATGAAAATATTTCTCTTTGGCCAAAAGTTCACATAAAATGTCCGGAAGATAAAATACTTGTGACAATTTGTTTTAACACATTACTATGGTTCCTGTTTAACAGGCCCTTCAGAATTAAGTAGCTCAGTCCTTCATGTAATACATTATCAGGTTTCAACAAATTTTATTTAGTAACCTGTAATAACGGTCATTAAATAAGTAATAGACATAACATCACTTTTGAACAGTACAGTTCATAAAAGTGCAGAATAAGCTCTCACTTATTCAAAAGACAATAGCATATGGAAATGCTGCCTCGAGTTGAGCTAACTTGTATCAATTGAATCATCGAGTTGAGCTAACTTGTATCTACTCAATTTCAAGATGTTACGGACAATACTAAAAGACTACTTTAACTGACACAAGAGATGATACTATGGAATCCACTTATTGTCTGTTGTCAGAAGACCATTGAATCTATTGAGATGACTGTAAATATGTTTTGAATATAAATACTTCCTGAAAGGAGAATTGATAATAATGATTTAAGGAAATAAAGAATTGCATAAGATTTGTTCCATTCTTTGGGCACAAAAAGAAACTTAGAGCACTGTCAGCTGCCAGGATCTTCTGATGTAACATAGTGCCATTTGTGGTCGTCGCATTTAAAACGAGCAGTCATTTGGACTCCTACCGGTTGTTGAAGATACATCTTGAAGAATTAGCTATTATCTCGAAAACTAAGATGTCTAAAATAATTATATTTTGACATTTTATAGAACATTCTCAAATATTAAAAATTACAATATATCATAAAAATAAATCAATAAATATAGACTCAAAAGAAACTAAAACTTCAAAACAGTCAACATGACTGCTCCTGTTGTTCTAGTGTCAATGACTTATCTTTTCTATGTGAAAAGAAAAGGTACTGTGCATGACACTTATATTCTTGCTATTTGGATGATAGGAGTGTGTAAAGAAAAAAAAATCAGCCAAGAAAAATGTATTAAGAAAAAAGTTAGTTCACTTGTGGAGGCAGTACAAGTCATCAGAATTGAGAGAATTTCTTTAATGTATAATTAAAATAGGTTTGTAAATAGTCTTAGTCTTCAAGGTTTTTAATTTGATTTATTGATATAGTTTGTTTTACTAGTGATTTTTTGTTGTTGTTGATAAATTGTATTTATTGAAATTGACCGTTTTTTTTTTTAATTAATGGATTCTTTCGTGTGATCATTCTGAGTAACACCACTGGTGTAAACTGTGGTTGAATCGCTAGCCTTTCATTTCCTGGAGACCAAGAAAATCTTCCTTTTTGATTTATTGATCCTAAATTGATAAAACTAAATTTCAATTACAGAAACTAATCATTTCTCAATAGGAGGCACTACAAATAGGTGATTTGTTGTTTATAAGCCTTCTATAACATATGACAGATAGTAATTTAATTGAAATTTAAAGAAATACTAAATCTGATTTAACCTGTCTTTTTTCACAATAAAGGCATGTCATTAGTCACATATTTCAAATACTCTTTCACTTGTAGTTGCCTTCAAGAAATATCGCTATTGTCTTTATGTGTTGTGCATAGCAAATGCTCATCTGTGATCATTCCAACTTAAAGTACCAACCATCTGCTTCACCAAAATTTCTCTGCAAACTACCAGAAACTGCATAATGGACAACAGATAGACCATGAAAGGCATGTTGCCCACCTATACATTAAAACATCACGATGGTTAAAAATATTGAAGTCAGAAGAAAGTGTAATCCAGGGAAGATTCACTTTTAAGATGACCCATGAACAACTCTGATTCTGAATATAGGGGCATTATTATCTTGGAACAATGTATTTTGTTGAAGGGAAATTTGTTTTACAGGATACTCAGATCTTCCCAGATCGACCTCAAGTGATTACAAGACTTCTACAATGTCTGTTTATTCAGTATTGCCATCGCAGAAAAACGAACTTCCTAGTAGCCTTGTGTTTCCATTAGGTTTGTCCACCCTCTATACATTCTGGTAAATTATTATTTAACAGCTGTACTTACCGAACTCTAGCTGCACCTAAGCCACCTATCATTTCTATGAATTCTGACCCGTTCATTGATAAGAACGGTACATTAGCTTCAGTTGCCACTGCTTTTGCTAACAATGTTTTTCCACATCCAGGAGGGCCTAGTAGCAGTGCACCTTTTGGCACCTGGAACGTAGCATAAATGTTTGTTGAAATTTATTCTAAACATGCTCTTGAGACAGTAGTATTTATGAATTGGTTGTAATTCAACAAATACTGCATTCTCTAATTTTAATTGTGAAATTTTTTGCACTTAGAAAAATGATACGGTGTTTAGACAAGCATTTTTTGCTTATCTTAATTGACAATTTTTCTCTAATTCGACATACACTATTTTGGTATCAGGACCCACTAAAACAGGTTTTTGTGCCAAAAAATTGGTTTATGTTCTGCAGCATTACAGTACTTCTTCAATACTGCATATAAGAGGAAGAAAAATTTTCACCTCTTACTTTTTTTAATGCTGAATTTTTCTACTCTCCTTCTAATGCTCCTCAGGATCTGCCAGACAGTGGAGTGTCCAAGCAGGACGGGGATATCCATACCCTACCATGGTCTTGTAAATACTATGTGAAATTTAGAGGAAACAAGTTGTGGTTAACTACACATTTCATTTTGTTTTAAGGTGATATAATATTTTAAAAGATGTTCACTAATTCTTGCAATAAAGAACTTTTGTGTACTCTCTCAGACAAAAACAAGGCAAAAAATAACAAGGGGGTAATCACAAGAGAAGTTCCAAGTAGTATATGTTCCATAACTCAATTCCTTCAAGGAAGTTGTAAATGTATTTTTAAATGTTCATGAAACCAAAAATATCAATAAAGACAACTAATGGAGGACACCCATTGGAACAAAAGAAATGCTCACAATGCCACCGAGTCTTCAGGATAATTTCACACACTGCCTGTAGCCCATCATACACTCTAGCCTGGTTAACTGAGCAACCTGCTGCTGGACTGCACAGAATGATGCAGTTTTTCATAATAGGGATTCATGCCTGACAGCCAGCCCTAACATATGACGACAGTTCACTTTCTGTGACAGTCCCTTTATGTGTGTTTACAAAAGTAGCTTGACAACAATAGTTCATAACGCACTTTTAAGAGTAAGTCACATCTGAAATGAATCCAACCTTAAATTATTTAACAAACAAGATTTCAAAAGTGATTTTTTCAGAACAGCATTTCTGAGCTTATGCCCTTTATGATTAATCATGAAAGTTATAACAATTTCTTATTTAATTACACTGAAAATAATTTTCCCCAGTAAAAACATTTCCCTGTTTTTTCCGACTTTTCCAGTGAATCCCAAATTCCTGGACAATTTTGATTTTTCCAGGCGTGACACTGTCCTGTCCACATACAATTCTAAAGATAATCTTTTAAATTATATTTGAAATTACAATTGAAAAGCAAAGTAAAGCACATCACATTACCTTGGCTCCAAGACTTTTATAATGTTCTGGTCTCTTTAAGTAATCAACAAATTCCATAACTTCTTGTTTTGCTTCCTGAAGACCAGCAACATCAGCAAAATGTACTCCTTTCCCAGGTCCAGATAAAGGATCAACAAGTGTAAATTTTGCGCGTCCCAGTTGTGACTGAAATGAAATAATCAAATTACAAAATTGAAGACATGTCAAAATATGAATTAATGGTCACAATATTGCTACAAGGTCACTTACAAATGTGTCCATGCTAAGAGGTGGTCGAATGCTCCTGCTTCGCGACAACAAAGATAAAAGCAGACCAACAACAATCAACGATGCAAGTAATTTTCCAGCAGTGTCAGAACTTCTTTCTATGATCACTGGCACACCACCATCAGCTCGAATTCCAAGACTAGTTTCTGCTTCCCGTAATTTTTCTTCAAATCGATTAATATCTACAATTATCATATGAAATGTTTTGTGTTCCATCTAGAACAAAGAATAATATTTGCAAAATGAGGGACAAATGTATAATTCCTAAAATATTATTTGTAATTGGCAGGTATAATACCACTTCGAAGAACACACACAAATCCAAAATATTTTTAAATTAAATAAATATATTTATATCGGCATATCAGTGACTTCTTAAACTTTTCACAGATTTGTTATATATTTCAATTCTTAACAGGAATCACCGAGATATATCAATCTGATTTGATTTATTTATTGTTTAAAAAAAGTTAAAACTGCATATCATATATGAGAGTTGTTGATAATATCAGTATTAAAAATAATAAATTAGTTTATACTGTGACTTACAGAGGACACATTTCCCAATGAAAAACTGCCAGGTTTTGTGATACAAAAATGGAACTTGAGATATTAGAATTGGTATTTTTTATATTGCTAAAAAAGTAACATATTGATAAGAGTGATTTATAGCCTCATGCTGTGAAAATTGTCCACATTTAATTCGAACCAAATATGAATGATTACTTCTCATTATGTAAACACAAACAAACTGAAATACTTACTTTTTTCCCTTTCACAACAGCTCCGTCGTGAAGGATAATGGTTACAATGTCAACATCAGGCCTTACAATAACTTCTTCAACTTCACCCTTTGCAAGCATATGGTGAACGAACTCATTCCAAGAAACATAACGAATTACCTAAAAAATAAAAATTATTTGCACCATAAAACTAGTAATACTACAACTGAACATACTTTTTCATATTATACATAAAGATTGGAACTATTATAATTCTAGTTGAACCTGCAAAAATAATTGCATGGACTGAGATTAGAATCTACGTACATAGCATCCATGTTGCCCATTTTTAGACCACCCTGTTTTTTAAGTATGAAAATTACTCCTGACAAAATGAAAAGAAAATATGAAAAAACTTTACAATTGGGAATTGTACTCACAAGTACACATTACTGATCAATATTTCCTATTCTGTACAAAGGAATTTATTTAATATCAATGCAATATATAACTGGATACTTAAGAACACACATTATTCAATGTATATATAGAAACACATACTATAACACATATCATCGGTATATGAGCGGAACACACATATTTTTGATATTTTTGACTTACATTGCTAAGCCATATATTTTGTACCCTTTTGTTTACTGAAATGGTGAAGAGCTTAAGTTCGGGTGAACTTAATTATGATTATTTCATTTTTAACAAAGTTGCAGAAAAGTGAAAATGTAGAGGAAAAATCAATCTTTGGAACCAATATTTTTGATTCTTGGAAGCAACATTACACATTGATGTGAATATACAAGAAAACTAGTTTATCACCGATCTACCTGAAAATACTAAGTACACAAATTTTAAAGAATAAACATCAACTTCATTTATTTTAAAACAGGTGTTTTGGACATTTTAGGTTTCACTTTTATACTGCTGATACATACACATCAGAATTACAAACATAAAATTTTTCCTTTCCCTGTGTATCTAGCTAAATGTCTAGGAAATGTGAAATATTACATTACATTATATAAATAATATCAGGAATACAGTGTTTTTATTCACATTAAATAATAATAATAATAATAATACAATGTTTTAAAAACGTATCAAATAATAATATATTATATATTAATTGTTTATTTTCCAATCTATATGAATCAAATGCAGTGACCATTTTACTAATATTTTATAATGACAACTTTGAACAGAGAAGAAATTTATTTCAGAAAGTTCTCTCAATCACTTAATAATCTGGCAAAGACTACTCAACATTAGGGAGCAATTAATTAGATTGAATTTTTGTTAGTTTAGAATTCACCAAATTATGAACAGAAAAAACAATTATCATCAAGTTCAACATTTCTGTGGTATTTGGTCAGAACATGATAGTTCCAATATCACATTCATATGCAATTCCTAGCGATTCCACACCGAATTTTTTAAACAGATTGGAAACTAACTTGGTAACATTCAAATAAGGACTTCAGAAAATTCAAAGAGTGAATGTGCTATATTAGTATCCAAAACATTTAAAAATGTAAAGGTGTGGCATATCCACAATTGCATCTGATGTAATTTTGAAGTTATCATAGTCTGGCCAAACATCGCAGATTTGAAGCAACTAATTGTTTGAGGAAGCCAATTATTCCTTATGTTAATTTGTAATAATGTAATAAAAGAAAGCACCCACTGTCCAAATACATGTGTATGTTGAAAGCTCTTTAACCATTAGAAGAATGGCTAAAATAGAATTGCTTTAAAAATAATTCAAATTTTATACATAGTCACATTTTGTATGTGCTGCCTCTGCTCAAAATAAAACTGTAACTTACACGTGACATATTGCCAGGCCAGTTATTTTCTAATACTAACCTCAGGTTGATTGCTGCTAGGAAATAATAATGATATTATTGCAATGAGCATATATGCAGTTAACATCCACAGAAAGGCTTTTGCTAGAAGAGATGATATTTTATTATCTTCATCGTCATTTTTTTCGGGCTTTTTATCATCTGGGTTTGGTTGAGCATTGTTAACACTCGAGGAATGAAAACCTCGAGACAAGCAAGAAAAGTTGGGATATCTTCTCACAGGCAATCCTGATCGTTCAAATAATGCGAAAACTGCTCTGTACTCTTCCTGTAGATTCTTGAAAGCTTTCTAAGAAATAAAATACAAGCCATCATTAATAAGCATAACTTTGAGCTTACATAACCTACCTTATTGACAATGTAAATACACTACCTGTGGGCTCATATGGCTAACATTTCGGCAATGTTTTTCTACGCACTGTAATGCAGGTCTATGAGTTTCACATGCAACAGACAATCGGCATAACCCACACTTTCGTTCTAAAAGTCTGATGCAATTTGAAAGCGAATGCTTCCGAAGAACTTTTGCAATGACACGCTGCATGATGTATAGTTTGCTGCAAATTACATTCACTAATACATTATCACAATACTGTGAAATAAATAGACGTAAATATCGCTTCAGGAGAACTTGACAACGCCACTATACAATATGATACAATACACATTCATTCATACTGGGCACCGGGAAAACACGTACATTACTAGCCCCTCCTCCTCTCCTCAGCTGTCCACCCCACCGCCTATTGAATGTTTGCATCAGCACGAATCGACGACTCGGAGTCACTTGAATCTAGAATCAAAGATTCAAGAAAAGAATCAAAATATCCGTTTCAAACTCAAAGGGCCTCCAGTTCGACCAAATCGATCGGAGAATTTCAATTTTGAAGAAATTCGCCTGGACGGCTTAGACAGGCAGGGCATTGTTCAACCGGAAATATTCATTTTTGGGGCACATAACATGAAACTTCAACGTTTTCAAAAATTTCTCAAGTATGTGCCCAAATTTTCTGATTACACTTTTGCCTCAAAGGTCGATTATAAAATTGCATAAGTCTCATTTTTGTTGAAAATTTTGAATTTTTTAAAATTCCAAAAGTTCAAAAAAATTTTGGCGTCATCCTACAACTACAATATTGAAGATTTTTTTATTAAAGAAATCTGTGAAATAAAGACTTTTGAAATAAAACCATGTACAATTTTTTAAAAATATCAGAATATCCAAGTTATTTTGAGTGAAATATATGCAATTTTTAAACAATTGTTTTCTCAGAAAACGATCCCAATTTTTTCTTTACATTTCCCTCATTAAATTTCTATGTAGCAAAGGGCGGTCAAAAAAGTGTTGATCCCACTTTAGGCGAACTCATACTATTTTCGGAAATTGGAAAAAAAAACCATTGCAAAAGTGCAATATTGACGTTAGAGATTGTCCATAAATTACGTAATGCACATCTGAAGTATTTTTAATAACACTAGGGAACCAAACAATTATTTTCATATCTTCAGGGTGAAAGTAGATGATTTCATAGGAAACGATCACGCAGATTTCGAAAATCATTGTAAAAAGTTTCTATCGCTCCGGGTTCAAAAATATGAGCATATTTAATATTTGAAATAAACAAAATCCTATACTAATTTCCGCATTGTCACACCGGATATATTAATACAAAATTTTATGAACATGCTTCATATGAAGTAAGAACAAGTTAAAATGGAAAACGCACTTTATGCAAAAATATTGAAACATCTTGGAAGGAGAAATTCGTATTGTATTGATAAAAAATGCGTTGCGCTTTGTCGCTTACTTTTATATTCCTGCTTACTCTCTCTGACAAGAAGCCAGCCGTAATCTTCCGTCATTGCAGGTTCCTTACGCCCTTGATATCTCTTCTCCATTGTAGCAATATCTTGATGAAACTATTCACCACGTTCATCACTAATATTACCCAAATTCTGTGGGAAAAATTAAGATGGGAGTGAAGAAAATGAAGTTTCATAGATATTCTGTAACTCATATTTTTGTAGCTTTCTAACCATTCTGTGACCAATGTTTTATAAGGGTCTTCTTTCTTTGATCTGAGAAATGCATGCACAATTCTCTTAAAGAATTGTCAAGCTGCTAACTCATGTCTCGCAATTTTTCTTTCAATATTTCATCCAACATGAGTTTTATGATTTACGAGCCGATGAAAATTCCTTCCTTCAATGTTGTATTACTCATCTGTAGAATAATTTCACTATTTTGAAACTTCATTTTCAAGACTCTAGAAACAATTACCATTCATCTGAATTTTAGAGAATACACAATTTATTCATTAAACCCCTAGTATCTAAAAACTAAAAGTACCTTCAAGAGCAGAATATAACGTAAACGTCTCGTGTCTGTTTCTAAACTCTCAATTTTTTGTCCCGGAAGCAAGTAGTTTCTATTACTGACAGTAATCGGAAGCCTAGCAGTTCAGATACATTTGCTATACATATTCAGGTCACGTGCCAAATCATTTAAGTCTTCCTTTTCCGCTAAGTGCAGGCCTGCGTCAGACTTTCCTTGTAAGTAGTCTGGATCTTTTGAAGTGGAAACTTGTGTTTCTGGGGGAAATACGACTTCAGTTTCATCACAGTTTTCTTCATGATTTATTGACTGTGTACAGGCACCGGTAATTCGACATTGTGTGACACAGGTTGCATGGCAGCAGAATTATGTGAATAACTGATCTGGAAAGACCAGATATCTTTATCGTTAAGTAGCAGTTATTAAAATGGTTTGGTGGTATTCTCTACAACTTTGGTAAAGAGAATGAAAATAATTTGAGTTTTCCGTACAAAGGTTCCTTGTACAGATGACACGACACTGGTGATTTGTGCTGATCAAACACGGCAGCCGAAGTACAAAGAACATCAAGTTTTTTTATGTATATTATATATATATATATATATATA